AAAAAACAGTCAGAAACAGCAGTCCTTTTATGAGACAAGTCATTTCAGCTTTTCCATTGTACGTCTAAAATAATGGTCTTTTATCGTTTGTGTGAAACCTCTCCATGAAAATGATGCGATTGGACAGATTTTACATAATTAGACCTATTTATATTTGGCTTTAACAGGTGCACCACAGTGATCCCATCACAGGTGACCTGCTGATATAAGAAGCTTGGTTTCCATAGCAATAGTTGGTCATGAAACGCAGGAATCAGTCAGTCACAGAAAAGTATTGTGTCTGTTTCTAAACAGACAAAGAACCTGATGGTCCAAAGTGGTGCCAAGACTTGGCTTCATCTTTTAAGTTTAGATGAAAGTTTTTAAAGCTTTGCAACAAATTATTTAAGAATCAAAGCATATATGAGGCTTATGAACTGTGTACTGTGTACAAAATAATAATAATAATATAAATTCAAAACACCAGACTTATGAATGAAAAGCTTAGCATTCAATGAAATAATGCATATTGTCCACCGCCTGTCATGCTGCTGTTTTGGACTAATATACTTATATTATGCTGGAATATCCTAGAAGAGCATTATAGAGATTTTGGGCAAATGTTAAAACATATTCGAATGATATTTCACATGAAATCCCACAATCTGTTATTGCTCAGAGTATGGGTTGTGAATGACCGTCAGCTACTACCACACCTACATTTGGCACAATAATTGCAGGTAAAACTCTTGAGTTCATAGATATGCATCCATTGATTACTTTCTGAAAGCGTCATCAACTCCATTCAGTGATTCATAAGTTATATTTGCTAAAGATATTGACAAATGAATATAAATTATACCCTTGGGGAATAAACTGTCCTAGGCCAAACTCTACAAGCCAACTCTACAAAAAAAAAGCCTAGGCTACACAGGCCAGAATACTGTACACCAATTTAACATGGTAGTTGATCTCAAACAATGTCTCATTATTTAATGTGTATTAGCAGAGCTTTACACTGTGACATTTAACATAGTAAATTGGTTGAATATTCAATCTTTATAGAGATATGCAAATATTTGTAGTCTTTTAGTGATAAAACGATCACAGACAGAGGATATTCACCCTGGTGGCCACCGACCAACAATGTAAGCAGGGGAGTAGTTTGCTGTGGTGAGGAGGGACGGGCAATGTTTTTGCTTTTTACTTTCCAGGTTTTACATGTTACTATTTATAATAGATATATTTATTCTTTTATTATCTCGTTTAGGTATTAAGTAATTAATCAAATTAAGTAGTTCTTGTGTATATGGCTCAATATATCACGAGGGTATAATCTGGCCTGAGTATAAATTGGTCTAGGGTGCACTGATGGCAGTTTTCTGGCCGATCACAGATCTCTAAAAAGTCTGACCTGCTGATTCCGATTTTGTTTTATAAGCGACACTGTCAGGTGTTAGAAGGTCACCTTCAATTTTTCAATCTTATGTTATTGAAAAACATACCCTTGAACAATATCCTAGAAACAATACAGGCTTGTTTTAGCTGGCCATGAGGTAGTGCTCTGATATATAAATGAAGTTTAGACAATTGTTGTTAAAACTACCAAAAAATAAAAATAAAATCAGTAAAATCGGTTTCTTATGCAAGTATCGGCCAATCTCCCGAAACTAAGGAAATTGTGGCCGATACCCCTAGTCTAGGCCATATACTCAAGGTATAATCTAGCCCAGGCCCCATTAGCCCAAGGTATATTCTGGACCGGGGTAAACTATGGCTCTTTACACTAGACTGATTGTGATCACATGTGGAGATGAGTTTTAAATTGACAGATTGATTCCTGTTAACTTCTGACCAAATCAACTAAAATTCATACTAATGCCAAATCCAAACAAAAGTGTTTGGACAAGTCGGTCATACATTTATTGTAGAGCTCCAATTATTTCATTAGAAGGAGTTATGGTTCAAACTCTTTTGTACCGGAAAATTTTCTTGAGTCTAAATCAAACGTGTTTTCCCATGAATAAAATGACTGCATACTCTTACATATTTGGGACAAAGCTCAGTGAATAATTGCCTCTCAGTGGTACGTTCTAGCATAATAGAAAGCTGCAGGACATATGTTGGTGTTCCAAGGGACTTTACATCCCATCTTAAAATGTTATGCATGACTGCAACCCACCAAGGTGTTGTTACTTTCACAATTTTGTAGGCATCAAGGGGACATCTCCAGCCTAGAGCAGGAAGTACTGATGACAGCAGAAAATAAAAAAACCTTAATTTTGTGCTGGATGATAGAACAACATAAATAAATAGAAACGGCAGCAGAGCACAGTTGGGGGGTCCTGGGGCATTACTTGTCCAATCATGCCACTTATGTAAGAGAGTTTGTTGCGTAATTTTAATTCCGATTCCTTATGATTTTCACAAGTGTTCCTCAGGTGTGACCTGGAGAGCTCTGAGTCGTCCAAGCTAAGAAGGCAGAAGATCTGCTCAGCAATCATTAAAAGTCAGAGGCATAGATCACTGAGCACTGAGCAGCAGGACCGCTCTGGGGTGCTTACTCACAAACAAATACAAAACAGCTGATGTGGACCCAGACCCTAAAAGACATGAGGAACATTGCCTCCTACTGAACCGCTGCTCTCCTGCGTCATCACTTGTGACATTTGGAGGAAAAAGAGCCCAACGGTGTTTAAAAACTTTACAGAACGTACAAGAAAGTATCCTGGGAATATTAAAAAATGACCTCAGTTTAATTTAATTTGCTAAAGTAATACTGGCCTTGTCAGCAGCTGTGAGCCGAGTCCAGGGCTTATCTGCGCGCCGGTCATAGTCCTGAGCGTCTGACACCTCCACGTAGTCACAGAATCTGATGAGAATTTTGGCCTGTCTCAGCTCTTCTACAGTCGGCCTCTGGCTCAGCTGGAACAGGAAGACACAAACACAGTACCGTTAAATGTATAATTACAAATGGAAAAAAGTAGCTACAGTTCTTGAGCTTGTTCATTTATTCAAGTAAGCAAAAAGAAGATATGGATACCAGTTCACGTTGTATAAGAATGTCAAGAAAACAGCCTCGCATCTCAGTTTCTGTACAACTTCTTTAAGTGTACGAGGTTATAGTCGGGGACAATTAGACATGAGCACACACACATCTCTGAAGCCACTTTTTGCACAGCTGATTGGAAGATGTCACAACATGCAGAAGCACTGATTACAGATCTGAAAATCCCTCGTGATCCTAATGAGACGACGCAAAGCTCCATTTTATAATCAATGAACAACGCTCAAAAATGTAAACATGTATTTATTGTACGCAGTGCTTCATCAAAAATCAGCTAGCAGTGATTAAAATGTTCTATAGTATTATGATTTTTAAAGGCAATCAACAGCTCTTACAGGGAGAGCTGTTGTTTCTATGTTTTAAAAGCTGAAGTGGAATCAGTCAAACATCCTGTTCAAGATACCCTATACAATGGTACTTATTGCAATGTCATGAAAACCTGCCAAAAAATATTAACATACAAAATCTGCACATTTTTTCTCTCATCCTATTCTTAGTGTGTCCTTAAAAAAATGTAAGCAAACTTTGTGAATGGTTCCTACAACCACATGTGTTTGTTTACTAAACTGACTGAAAATAGGTCAACCAAGTCTATGTCCAAGGAAGAGCCATTTGGAATGAACATTTTATTGTTTCTATTGAATAATCTCAATGGCAGACATGGCTTAAAAGCATCCAGGCTCCCAATCCTGCTTAGGACAAGTCCAAAATTGGATAAATGACATGACAACAGTCTAAGCCATAGATAATGTATTAATAAAGACAAAAATACCAAGATTTAAACTCTGGGCTGACTCATGTTTCACCTAATCTAGTAGTAAAATTATAAAAATACATCATAAACTGGAGCTGAATTAAGATTTGAGTAACAAATTGTAGCACGGTGGCTCAGTTGGTAGAGCTGTTGCCTCTCAGTGAGAAGGTCACTGAATTGAATCCAGGCCGGTGGCCTTTCTGGGTGGACTTGTCAAGTTCTCTCCGTGCATGCGTGGGTTTTCTCCAGGTACTCCGATTTCCTCCCACAGAACAAAAACATGCCTGTTAGGCTGATTGGTAACTCTAAATTGTCCCTAGGTGTGAGTGAGAGAGTGAGTGGTTGTTTGTCTTGTTTGTCTCTATGTGTCCCTGTGATGGACTTGCGACCCGTCCAGGGTGTACCCCGCCCCTCGCACAGTGATTGCTGGACATGGGCACCGGCGACCCCCATGAACTGAAATGGATGAAGCGGGTAAAGTTAATGGATGGATGAACAAAAACGTGCATGTTAGACTGATTGGCAATTCTAAATTGTCCCTAGATGAGTGAATGGTTTGTCTCTGTGCCCCTGTGATAGAATGGAGACCTGTCCAGGGTGTCCCCACCTCTCACACAGTGACTGCTGGATATGGGCACCAGTGACCCCCATGAACTGAAACGGAAGAAGCAGGTAAAGATAATGGATGGATGGATGGAGTTACAAATGTTCTGAGCCAATTCCCAGAGATTCCACACTTGTCCACTGCCAGCAAAGGTGTCAAACTTCCAACATGGTTTGTCATTTTCAGCCAAGTGCTTTGTTTACATCGAATGTGGAAAACTACTAGAGTAAACATTTTAAAACTGTAACATTTAAAATAGCTCAGGAGATATAGATTTACAGTATTGGTATTCTGTCTGTATGGTTTGTCATCTACAAATGTCAGTAGTCCAAGTAGCCGTAAGATTTATTTATTTTTTACTCCCATGTGTGGTTTTGTTTGCTGGTGAGCAGAAAGTGTTGCTCTTTAGATGACAGTGGTGTCAGGAACATGCTCGACACCTCCCCATGAGGTGGAAAGATTTGGCAGCCGACATGCTAAAGAAACAAGGACAACAAGGACATCAGTGCCTCCTGTGGGGGAAACCTGAGAAGAACAAAGCCAGTCCTGTAACAGACTGGTTTTAACTCTCCGCTACGAATGAGTCACTGTCACGGTGTTTGTTTATCCTGGCCTGAAATTTAGCCCCTTTCCAGACGCTCAGAGGGCAAAGCGTGGGTTTGCACTTTTGGAGTTATTTTGGACTCACCTTTCGCGACAGCCTTCGTTTTATTTCCCTCTTCTCCTCCAGTTCTTCCTGCTCATTGCGAGCTTAAAAGAAGAAAGAACAAGATGATTAAAAGCATATTGTGAAACCAGGCACGAGAAAAGAAAAAAAAAATCCTGGAATATTTAGAAACCGTTGAAGGTGTTCAACTTATATTTGCATAATATGGCTCATTAGCTCTACACTAAACTGGAGAGCTGTCTTACAGCATTAATAGTTTCTATTATTAGGAGTTTAATGCTATTACTGTTTGTCATGAGGGGAGAATGACTGCTCTGTTTCTTGTAATTTCTCCCTGGCCACCATGCAGGTGACTTAGAATCATGTTTGTAATTTAGTTGATTGACCCAAATCAACATATAAAGTATGGGGGAAATTTATAGCTCATTTTATAATGATAAAGTGATTTAAATTACATTACAGGGACAAATACTTCAAACTCTGAAGGACAAGTTAAAAAAAGGTCAACAGAAAGCATACTGGGCGTCTTCTTGTGTTTGCAAACGCTTATTCAGTCAAACTGCATCTAAGTTTACTTATACAAACCATATTTTTATATTCTAAATGGCTCCTTACTAAAAGCTCAAGTTGTGTTTGGTTAACTTTGATATTGTATGCACATGAGTGATGGACTTATCACTCATTTGCACTTTCCTCTTGAGCTCTTCCCATCATGCAGGAGCCTCTGGGAAAGCAGGAACTGCTGCTAAGTCAGTCTTTGATGTGAGAGCTGCAGCATCTTGGGCAACAGAGCTGCTTCTCTCTGATATTGCATACGTTTGTGCAAAGAATCAAGTCTCTCTGGACAGGAATACTCCAGGAGCCCTACTGCCTCTCTGTTTTCACAGGACCAAGGAGGAACAAAGAAAAAACAATATGCCACTCACATGACAATGCGTCTGAAATCATTGCGCTGCATGACAAAAAGCATGCACTGCTAGTCCCATTTCTTTTTTATTATAATAATATTTTAGATTTGGCTTTTACAGCTTCAATAAAGTGTTAAATTCACAAGTTGAAGGCACTTACGCTTGAGGATGTTCCTTTGTTCTAGTTCCTCGGCTGTGGGTCGTTGACTCAAGCGTCTGATGAGAAACATACATCTACTGTCAGCAACTGATTAAAAGGCAAGAGGTCGGCAATGCAGCATTAAAATGTATAACATCAAATTTAAATAACTATATATATATGAAATGCATTTTTGGAAAGATATTACTAATGCATTGCAAAAAAAATTAAATCAAGCTGCTGAGATGAACATTTGAGTTACTGGCATGTACAGTAGCAGGAAGTGGTGACAAACTGGGAACACCTGCATGTGAACAGAACATTGCTACAGTGGCTAACGGCACAAAGTATTGATCTGATTTTATTTAGATTGAGACACTATCAGAAAACGATAGAGTCAGAGTTCAAATAATATTGTTTCATTAAACAAAGACCAGAGTTCCCTTTTTAATTGAAGCTTCCTGGTTCACCTCGACTTCAAGTTCAAAAGAAAATTAGCCAGTTATGTGACAAAACGAGTAGATTAATGTGTATTATCCCAAATATCTTAAAAATGAAGAGGTTTTCTCACTTTTTATTGTGGGATATACATTTCACAGGCTCTTTAAATTTGTGAATCTCTCACATTACCATTGCCATGTAATCACCATCTGGTGAAGAGAAACTGTAAAAAAAAAAAAATCTCAGGAAAATCTAAAAAGCTCAAGGAACGTGTGATTCAGAGTAAGTTATTATTCATTATAGTTTAGCAAGTTCAGCAATGTTCACATTAAATGTGTGAGCATAAAACTGATTCTGTATTTTGTTGGCTTCTTGGATAAATTTTAAACTGTGGATTTTGTCATTTTCCTGCATTTTCATTGACTTTGGCATGATAGAGCAGAAAAAATTATTATATTCGGAGAACTGCAGTTTTGGAAAGAAAAGCACCTTGAGCCATCAGACTAGTTTAATCTCAGCAAGTATCCACAAAATGTCAGATAATAAAGTTTTGATAACTGAGCATCAACGCTCGTATCAAAGATTTTCAGGGCTGCAACAGAAGAGCACTTCTGTCTGCCAAGATCAGACAGATGAGGCTGCAGCGAGCACAGGCTCCTCTAAAACAGACTGCTAAACTCAAATTATGTAGCCTAGCTTTAATCTGATCACAGTAATTTTCTGCTTAGGGTGCTCAAATTAAACATGTGATGTCCATAGCATATATCTACCAGCCCAACTTGTCCTTTTGCCAACTTCCAAGACTATCACTGCCGACAAAACGGTGCAAGGAATGTTTTTTTGGTAGATAATGCTTTAAGCTATTTGCATATTTTTGCTGTACATTTGCATTTTTGCATGGACAGACATAAATTTACAAATTGTCTTAGGGCTATTTCCAGTAAAATGAGGATCTTGTAAACCTCTTTCATTAAAAATGAAAAATAAAACATCTCATGAGTGACTCGATGTAACAAATAAATAGTAATGCACCATTTTATAATGCAAACTTGTTTATTTATGATTGGTAATCATTAGATCAGAATCCAACAAAAAGTTTTAATGAAAGCATGGACTTTAAACAAAGTATGTGGAAATGTTGATAATTGACATATTAGTCTTTTAATTAAAATTAGTATGCGTTTTATAGATACTTGGTAATGCATTTCAGGAAAAGCTCATTTTATTTTTCCTCCCATACAAATTCTTTAGCATGAGCTTTCCTGGTTTGACAGAAAGCCCCAAGAAATTTACTCTGTTACTCGTTTTGTTCACAAGGCATGAGCTCATCCATCAGACATGGGGTTTGGAGTAAAACAATCTGATGTAGTTCTGACATCCCAAACTCAATTATATATACATAACCTCAATTCATTTTTTTTAATGTATGCATTTGCATGGAATATGTTTTAAAAAAATATATTATTATTATTACTCATGACAGCTTGACAGATGCACTTCTAAAAAGCATCAATCAGCTGTAATCATTAATCATGAACTGAATCGATGACCCCATTATTATTCAGCATTGCAATGCAGTAAAGTGTACAAAGGTCAGACATGACTCTCGTGTGATGCTGCACAAATCTGATTGTGACACTCAAAAGGCTACCTGAAAGGTTTCACCACTAATCTAATATACCGGTTAAGGCAAACAAAGATGTGGAACAGGACAGCAAGATCTTATGCAACAGCTAACATTGTACACAAACAATATGATTTCTAGAGTATTATAAGCAATTAAGATACGCAAGCACGCACGCACACGCGTATATAAATATATATATATATATATATATATATATAAATATACACATAGAGAAGTGTCATAGAGAAGTGTCTTGTTTGCATAGTCTCACTCAACTCTACCCTCACAAGAAAAATATTCCCACTTGTTTCCAGTTTTTCTTCACAAAATTCTGCCTCTACTCTGAGATTCACTGTTCTGCATGCAAATGTTTAACTCACAGGTTGGAGCCCATTTTTCCTCGCTACTGGTTCACCAATGTGTGCACAAAACCACTCTCCCTGCTCGTACTTCTATTAAAAAATAAAATAAATCAAATACATCTCTGGCTTATAGCATGCTGCTGTGACTGCACCCTTATTGAACATAATTTCACAGCATATCCATCCAAGCAAATATTTGTTAAACTGATGAATTAATTGAAGAAAAGTGGCTCATGACGACGGCAAAGCATCAGCTGCCACTTCTCTTCTGACTGGCTTTAGCAAAACTTTGCTTTCAACCTGCTAGAGATCTAACCTGATTGGCTGAAAGTCATCAAAACTCGACACTGCGACAGATCAAAAATATATTTTCCCCTCATGTAAATGATTGAAGAGTTTCCAGCTGCAGCTCAGGAGGGATTTTTATTTTGAAAGGTTCTTGTTTAAATTTACTTTCTGTAAGGTTAAGAGCTAAAGCCCTTTCCTTTAGTTTTCTCTGTGGGTAAGGACAACAGGAGTGAGCTGAGGTCAGCATGTCCCAGAGCATTATAATCCTAATTTGTTTTGGTTAACTGCTTTACAGAACACAATGCCGCTGGTAAAACCAAATAAAAAATGGATTGCATGCATTAAATGACACTTTGCGAAGGACACTGTGGCAGAGCTTTTTGGAAAGGTGACAACAGACCTTCTGGGAACATGTTCTGTGTTCCAGTCACAGTGGGGAACATTAGGTTGTGAGCCAATGTGAGTGTGGTTTCTTTTTTATTATACTCGTTCCTTTCAACCACATCTCACATCGTACTGTCCAACACGGGCTTTCATTTCCATAAAATATCAAGGCAAAGTGAAGAGCTTACAGGGATGTGCTGACGGGGGCCAAAAACGGGAAAAATCCAACAAGCGGCAACAATTTTGTTTGATCCGTTCAGCTATTATAATACTCATTTATGACTTCAACCAACATGTGAACACAAATTAGGCCTGGACTGCGCACAGCATACTGCAAGTGTGGTTTGTGAATGTAAAACTGCTGGTATGAAAACGCTGCTGGAAGCATCGGGCGGAGAAAAGCTTGGCACATGCAGTACTGTGGTGATTCAGTGAGCGAGGGAGGAAGGAAGAAGCGGGAGCGAGATAGTGAGAGCACGCTAGAGAAGAGACAAGAGAAGGAAGGAAGGGAGGGCGGGCGCATCACTGAAATTAGGTCAGCTCCATTTTCACAGACTCTTTAACGAGATAAAGCATTTGCGCTTATTGGAGGCTCAAAAGGAAACAGAAAAAGAAAGGATAAAGAAGAAATTTAATAAAGAAACATGGAGTGAGTTGTAGATTTATGAGCCCAACATGAAGCAAGATGCTCGCTTCACTTTCCCCCTCAACTGCTGATGCCGCTGTAACTGAATGGGAATGTATTCAGGTTGCGCACAGGTCCCACCTCGTGAGTTTGGTGCCTATTTGCTGTCTTGACTCCAGCCTCTCCTCATCCGTCTGCATGGGCAGGATGTTCTTCTCCTCCAGCTCTCGTTTGGATGGACGGTTACTCAGCTTGATGGCCAGGGAGTCTTTTCGTAGCACCTTCTTAGCCAAGGTACCTAAAATAAAAACCTTGTGATCAAAACATCTGAGGGGCTTTAAAAAGCATCACAAGGCTTACATGTTTCGTTTGATTAAAGGAACATCTTCGGTGTGGACTTTGCATGCGTTTCACGTGAACACAATACTTTGTGACAGGAAATAACGGTGGGACACAAATCTTTGCACAGCCTCCGTAAATTAAATCAAGACAAAACGTTAATAAAAATTAAGGAATGCACATTGCTTGAGATCTAGCATTTTAAATGCATCCATTAGCACTCACAGTATGCGTCAGGGAAGAGTCATCCACAGCCACATCATATTTAGCTCAATTTCTGTCAAACTGACTCAAACATTTGTGCGTTTCTGATGTTAAGCTGTGGTAGCCATCTTGAACTTGGTTGATTCCGAAAGTTAATCCGAAAGTTGTAGATAGACATCCAATAATTAGTTCATGAGTTTTCTCAAAATCTGTCCAGTGATTCATAAGACAGCTTGCTAAAAGACACGTAGCCATACAAACATTTATTGCATAATGCATTGTCAGGCATATCACGCATAATGGTAAATGGACTGTACTTGTATAGCGCCTTTCCATCTTATCAAGACACTACAATTTGCGCCCTCGTTTACCCTACATTTCACTGTATAAGTCATAGTTTTTTGCATAAATTAGCATGCCTACTACTTGTATAGCAAAGTGACATATTTATGTTTTTTTCCACATATTTATAAACCAATTTTTGGCTGAGCTCTGACGATTTCAATCATTCTGACATGAAAAATATTGAACACTACCATTTTCAGCCACTAGATGGCACTTGAGTAATATGGCAAGCCAAGTGTCTCATTAATAGGGAAAAGTGGCTATTAATGAGACACTTTGCTTGCCATTCAAAGCCACCGTCGTCTCACTCCGGAACTCCTGGAGCAAACGTCAAATCAGCTGCATTTCACTGCACCACCCAGACGAAATGCAGCCGATTTGACCATTAAAGTGCATTTATTAAGGAAAAGTTAAACTGAGACACACATTTACTATAATGTCAAACAAAGAAATAAATGCTTTTAGGTGGTCATCTTGTTAAATTTCTAAGAAATGCACAGCGAGTCCTCCCTCTGCGGGATCCCGCAGCTGCGAATCGGCTTTTGAGATGCAGCTGATTTGACCGTCAAAGTGCATTTATTAAAGAAAAAAGTTAGACTGAGACACACCTTTACTATAATTTCAAGCAAACACAATTGTTTTTAAGTGTTAATCTTGTTAAATTCTTGTTAAAGTCCTCCCGTGCAAGCTCCCGCAGCCGCCATTTGGCAGCCAATCGATTTTTGGCACACAGGCCCATGTTTGCGGATTGTCAGCGGTGACGCATAATAGATGCGACTTATACGGTGAAGCAACCATTTTTTTTTTTCGACTTTGTTAGACATATTTGGACTGATGCAACTTATACGGTGGTGCGACGTGTGCAGTGACGAGTACAATACCCATTCATACAGCACTGTACTACATCTATACAAAGAATAATCAGCGCTTTATCACATTCGTACACCGATGGGACACAATTGGGATTCAAAAAACAGATTTTTTTTGTTTGTTTTTAATTATAATTATTTTTGTTTGCTTGTTTGTTTTTTTAGTGCTCACTGACACTCACTTGTAAATAAAGAGTCGTCATCTTCATCGTCGTCGTCATCATCCACGTCATCCTCCTCGTCCTTATACATGCTGGGCAGATCTTCGTAGTCAGACTCGTTGGGCATGTTCTCCTTGTCATCCTCGTAGTCAATAATCACCGAGGGAACTTCTCTTCTTTCAAGGGGAGCACACTGAATGCTACCAAGCAAAGCAGAGCTACAGAAGGGAAAAAAGGAGGAGGAAAAAATGGCTATGATGTCATTAAAATTTACTTTGCTTTTATTTATTTTACAATGCCCTTTTTTAACAGAATAAGCCTAGAAAATCTTTTCAATCCAGGGACCGAAAGTGGTTTAAAACATAAAACAGGATTTGGCTACAATATGTGACGATGGCTTAGAGGGTTTGTCAATGCAGGATCAAAGGAAGCAGAGATGCTTTGTGTAACTCCAGATGAATGAGACAGCCTAAATACAAACTAAACACGTTTAGTGTAGTCCTACGCAATCTCCTGAAACTCTCTGCACAACAAAGAAGTACCAGATTATCGAGCCTGCAGCATTCAAAAGCAGAATAAAAAGAATAAGCTTCATGTTTATGAGATATCGCGGGTTCACAGGTAATATTCTTGATAGATTTTTAACAGTTTGGTTGGAGCTTTATATGATGAGCCACTGTTATGCAACCAGTCTAAGCTTTCAGACTAATTGTGAGCTCTGACAGGAGCATTACCTCCTTATCCCTGCCCAAATGGCTCTGGTTGAAAAAGTGATCCTAATGCAAGTGGTTACATAATGTCCAATCTACTCCCGTGTCCTTTTTCTCCAAACATGAAGAAAACTCAGCTCTTGTCAAGAGCAGCTGGTCATGTTATGTCAGGCCAACTGCTGGAGGGACGCCTACTCCATGCCCACGCATACACACATGGACTCGAACAAAATTAGGCCATGCTGCCCTGTGAGGCAGTGTGCCGATTTAGACCTGTGCAGCAGCGCAACGGAACTGGCAGGATGCGACCTCGATAATAAGCACAAAATACTTTGAAAGTCACTTGCATTACTGAACGCCGGCTGAAGCCTCAAGACTTTTCTGAAGCAATTCACTCAATTATTTGTCATTTTTAAACATTTTGTAAACCTGTCGCTGACCTTTCAAACCTCTGCATGGAGAGCGCCAGGGTTTTATGGAGCTCCTCTATGATGCGGCTGGGGGCGTGCAGGCTGCCGTACTGAAGCTGGAGCGGGTGACCATGGGTCTGGTGAAACCCGGACAGCCCGCTGATCTGGGAGGGCAGCAGCGTGCTGTGGTGAGGCGGCATGCCCTGGGGAGGGCCGCACTTCGGTGGATGTGTGTTGAGGGGGTTCGGGGACGACAATGGGGAGGAGTCCAGCCCCCCTGGAGGCACACAAATCATCACTTTCTTGGGAGGCAGGGGTGGAGAGTGCTTTCCTCCGGGCATGCAGGGCAACTTCACAGGATGGCAAGAATCTTGAAGGGGGGGGAAAAAAAGGAGGAAAATGAATAATTTCCATCTACTGTACCCTGCCAATGCAAACAGAGTCCATCATTGATCCAGTGTGGCTCAGACGTCAATGTGAAGTGGGGAAAATTAGGCCAGGGCCTGTTCCCGAAGCTGACAGATTGATAATGACAGAGGCCAGCTGAGCTAACCACAGAGGGGGTTAATAAGTCTAATCCTTTGAGCACGTGTGGCAATGCAGGTACAGTGCTAGTAGTAAACAGTCACAGCTTGTGAACTGTGTATGACAAACAGATAATGAGACAGTATACAGTTGATCTTAAAAAAATTAAATGGAAAATAAATAATCTTGCCTGTGCTGTGGTTTGGGATTCTAGAGAAAGGTTTTGGAGGCAGAGCAGGTGGTTGTTTGTGATAAAGCGGCGGCTTGGCCGGAGCATCCTGATGGTCACTCGGATAAGTGATGGATTTCTTAGTGGGCAAGACCATAGACGTCTTAACAGGGGGCTCCTGAGTGCAGACGCTGCCGTCCATTGAGGATCGAAACTCAACAGATGCTAATGCAGAGGGGGGGAAACAAACAGACCTCAGAAATACATGACTACACAAGGATACACATTTGTTTTATAAGTTCACACAAAGCGTTTAGTGATTTTGAAAAGTTTAGGACTATTAACCCCCCACCCCACCGGCAACACACAGCAGATTGTAAAACCTGCTTCAAACGTGCCTTTGAGCCTGGTTCTTCAAGGGTCTGGTTGTAAACAAGTCTGAGTTTCACTCTCCAAGATTGAGAAAAAATCAAATCCAGCATCTACTGTAGTAAATTAACTTATAACACTATAAATATAGATTTTTTTAAAAGATAGCATGTTTTCTTATCTTGTCTTTCCACATTTTGGCAAGTGCCAGCTTCCCTTTAATTTTGACACCCTGAGGCAAAAAAAAAAAAAAGTTCTTAAATATACACTTATAAAATGTCCCTACGAAAGATCATCTCCAACTGTACTGTGTCAAATCTTCAAAAATGAATTTCAGAGACTATCGATATAAGGGAAGATAACTAATTAAGACCTTGAAATTTTATGCACTACATCCATTTCTATTTAAAGCTGGGATAGCTTCCAGCTTTGTTAAATTAAACCATGACTATGGAGAGAGATCAGCTCACCTTTTTCAAAGATCTCCTTCAGCACCCCTCTCTTGATGAGCTCATCTCTGCTTTGCCGCAGTGACATCTTTCTCTCCAAAGCTGGGGGTTTAAAAATAAAATAAAGGAACTTGTTTTAGGTAAAAATCACTCAATCAATAAAGCATCACTCAGTAATGTTTTAACCTCTGTCATTTCATTCTCTAAGTTGAGATTTACTGAGGTGTTATTGGTTTAATACTATTAGAACCCCCTGCTTTTTACACAACTAGCAGCAGATTTGTGTTTACGAACATACAAATGCAAAAATGTTTTACAGGTAAAATATTACACTGGGAGATATTTTCTGAATACTTAATAATAAATGGCGTTGTTATTGTTATCGCTGTTATCGTTGTTATTGTTATTGTTATTGTTATTGATAGTTAGTGTTATCGTTGTTATTTTTGTCTAGGTTATTGTCGTCATCATTATTATCATTATCATTACTACTACTTTCAGTATTGCATCCACATGGAAACAGCCCTTTGACGTACTGTTGTAGTAATGTCACCATTACATTTTCTTTAAAAAAGCTTATGACAATGATGTCATAGCCTCTACTCCAACAACAATCAAAGACTTCTTCTTCTTGGGTTTAATTTTGCACCAAGCATGCAATATTTGTGCTCATGCTCCATGGTTTTGTTTCTGGGTTTTTGTATTTATTTAGTATTTTTTGCAACAGTATTACAGCGCCACATACAATCCTGTCATAGTTAGTTACTACAGTATTACAGTATTTTCGGTTGTTTTCTGTGTTTCCATGTGGATGAATTTGTAAATAAAATAAAACTTTATTGTAGGCGTAGAAATCTGTCACTTTGATGCCTTTTTTTATAAAAACACGTTTAAAGCTAAAAGCTAAAAACAAAACATAATATGTAGCATAAATACAACCACATTAATGTCTTCAAATTGGCTTGTGAATAAGTGAATCATTCAACCGTTGAATCGGGTGAATGACACCTGATTCAATGGTTGAATTAACTCTTTCATGTTCTAAAGAAGCTTCTTTATCACGCATTGATTCAAATCTAGCGTGTTGGAGCAGAGAAATGTCTAAATCATGCAGGATAGTGGCCTTCAAAGATCAGGATTGGACACCCTGTTTTAGAGCCTCATTAGAATTTAAGTGACAGGTAACTTGTTTTTTCAGAGCTAAAACTGACCACAATTGGACAAAAGTGGCAAGTACCTGAAACCTGACAAGAATATCTGCATTTGAGGTTTATTTGTAAAGACTTAATAAAGATGGGGAAACAGAGCAAAAATGCAATATTAAATAAGATCTTTAAAAGAAACACAAGAGTATTAGATGAGCTGAAAGATGCTAGAGCAGCTCATAGTAACTGGTTGCCATAGTAACACAATATGCTTTTACAGAGCTTTTAAAGAGGCTGGCAGACTGAAAAATAGATCTGACCTGACCAGCAGTGCAATGAAATGATGGTATATGTATCGCAGCATCAATACGGTTTCTGCAGACTGAAGCCGAGCTGACCAGCTCAACTAAAATTTGTACACATTTTAGTCAGAAAACACATCATCACACAGGGTTTGTGAAGATGCACATCGTTTTGTTAAAACCCTAACAATATTTGCAGTTTCTCATCACACACAGGCCATCAATAATCCATAAAAATGTTTCAAAAATAAATTAAAAAGCTGTGCTCTCTATTCTTCTGCATTACAGCGTCATTTCCTCTTATTCATTTCAAATAACAGTTTTAATACAGTTAACATTTTTTAAGATATTCAATTAAAATATTAGTGCATTAAATCCCAGCAAGTAGAAGGGCTGTACAAAATTGACATTAGAACCTGGGTTTCTTTAAAAGGATGTTGCAGCCTGCAAATCTTCAGGAGAAATGCAATGATGGGGAAAAAGATTGGGTTCTGCAGAAAAATAAATAAATAAAGAACCTTTTCTAACTGTCATTGGTCACTCTAAGATCTTTAGTTTGTAGCAATATCCACGTCAAAAATGTTACATATGTTTGATTTCACTCAGAGTTTAGATATTGACTGATACTTTATATACAATAATAGCTTTATTGCACATTTCATTTATTTTAAACTGACAAAAAATGTAAAGAGCCGTTAATAAATCCTACATTTTGCTGCAACAATGAACAGAAGACTCAACTTCAAAACAAAATTTTAAAAATGAGCTCCATTTAGGAAAAGATAAATAGATGCTCCAGCCACAACTCTTTTAGTAAAACGTTAAGCACAAGATCAAATGCCCCACAGCGACTGTTTGTTTCTATTTTTAGGCTTCAAAAAGTTTAGGCACTGGTCCCATCAGCTGCCTGAATGAAAGCAACCAACAATCTCTTGGTTATTTTAAAATCTAAGCGTGCACGCAGGAACCTGCTTGGAAAAGAAACGAGGACGTGTAGCAACATTTGAGCGCAAAAGACTCCCACCAGGCCGCTGCAGCACAGCTTCTGCCATCTGTGCTTCATGATCCAAGAGTCCCAACACTCCCAGCGCTTGCAGAGGGTGATGGAGTCGAGGTTAATTCACCTTCCAAGGAGATTTGGGAGGATCTCGACCAGTTTTGAACTCTGCACTGGAAGTTTTAACGCTAGCAGCGGTGAATCCTAAATCTAAAGCACTCACAGAGAGTGACAGGATCAATCATTTCTATATCGTTACATTCAAGTTCACCACTTCAAGCCCAGGGAGAAAATTTAAGTGAATTGTGAAAATCTAAATATATTGTGCCAAGTGTTGATGCTATTTTGGGACACTTCTTCAGGCAGCCACATCAAAAGAGCCCCGTCACCCGCACCCATGAGGGAAAACTAAATCAACATTAGGTCGTGCACATCAAGGGGATAGTAAACAGAGTTGACCCAGAATCACCAGTTCTATTTTTCTGACAGGCTTGTGTTCGCAACAACTTTATTAAACCGTTTGCTCAAAACACTGCAGGCAGTAAAACCTTACATGAAGCACACCAGTGCAGCTTTTTATTTGATTTATAAAAGTTCTGAATAACTTGGAGAAAAGAAGAAAAAAAAAAGTCTTCATAAAAAAGCCTCAACTCTCTTGTGCCAGTCCTTTGATATGCTGAGGAATGTACATCACGTACTAGAAAGTGCAGCTTTTATCAGTGATTTTTTTTTTTTATGTTTAATGTTGTTAATTTTCTTACATCTAAATTCTTCAGTGAAACTTTTTTTAGTTTGATACCAAACTCCTGCACAAAAACAAGCTTTACTTATTTGACAATCTTTTTCTTTCGACTGCTCCCTTCTTCAGGGGTCCCCACAGCAAACAAACTCACATGAATCACTTGGCGATTGTTTTTACACCGGATGTCCTTCCTGACGCAACCACAGACCACAGAGCTACCACAGCCCTCTGTGTGGAGCAGAGAGCTGCCATCTAGGGCGCCCGGGGATTAAGGGCCTTGCTCAAGGGCCCAGAGTGGGGCAAATGAGGGTGGAGGCAGGCCACATTTTGATGTTGTCTGTCCTGGGGGTTGAACCGGCGACATTCCGATCACAGGACTAACTTCATTAACCTCTGTTCCACCACTCCCCCCAAAATAAGTTTCTTTCAGCTGCTCCCTGCTTCAGGGGTTACCACAGGGAGAGAACTCCCATGAAAGATTTGGAAGTTTGTTTTACGCCGGATGCCCTTCCTGACGCAAACTGGGCTCAAACCTGCAACCTCAGGATTACAAGTCTGCGGCACGGACCACAAAGCCACCGTGGCTTACTTTGACTTTCCTTTTCTGAATTACTGTGATCTGGTTAAAGTATTAACAAAAAAAAAAAAAACTTTTTTTTATGGGAGTGGTGAACCCAGGACAAACATCTATAAGACTGGCAGACGGTGTCATAATGTGCTCAGGGATTATACTGCCATTTTATTCTAAAATAAATAATTATTCAAGGATTAATGACATAACTGCCATGCCATGGGAAGAGCACACTTATGCAATACAATTACCTGAACAGCTTTAATGATAATATTGTTTAATTCAATCCAGTTCAATGATTCCCGACATATTTTGCTAATGGATGGAGACACATACAAAAACTTTTTGTCAGTCAGAGTTTCTTTATCAGTCACACCACATGTGCTACATGTGGTGGAACAAGACAGTGTACACAGGGTCCCAGTTACATCCAACAATAAAAAAGGTAAGAGAAAAACAGTAATAAGATCTAAGATATGAACAAAACATCAACTAAAAATACACTAAGCACTAAAAGCATAAAAACAATACGCCCAACAGCAGCACGAACACGAGTGTGTGAGAGCAGATGATTACAAACGAACACAGTAACATGAAACAGATCAGCAGCAACATGATGTGATTTTTTTCCCCCACAGTGATTATCATGGTTAGAGATTCATGAGTCTAACAGCCTCAGGGTAGAAGCTGTTCCTCAGTCTAGTGGTTCTACACTTAATGCTCCTCAACCTCCTTCCTGAGGGGAGCGGGGCAAAAAGTGTGTGTGCTGGGTGAGTGTGGTCCTTCATGATGCAGGTGGCTCTCTTCCTGCATCTGGAGGTGTAGCCGTCTGTGATGGTGGGGAGACTGACTCCAACAGACTTCTGTGCAGCCTTCACCACTCTCTGCAAAGCTTTTCTTTTTGTGGCGAGGAATAAAGAAGAAATTGGTCAAATTGACAATTGATTGTGTTACTTCAATGTCATTTAAAGCCAGTTTGAAGTTAGATGGCCTAAAAAAGTATCTACAATCCAACACACCAACTTCTAAAATCCCAGACTCATCTTTAATGGCTCATCTTTAATCAAAGACTCATCTTTAAGCGTAATAATGCGACTGTAATATCCAACTCATCCTGTGTCGATTTCACTAGAGTCCTTGTCGATTTTTTTAGGAATTAAATGTAAAAACTGAAGGATATTCCACTGCGAAGTGACCCAGTTTGTCAGAACACATTCTACCAGCCCTGAGGCTGAGTAGCTCAAAGTAAGCCTTTTACAGAGAAAATTTCTGAGACTAAAAAAAAAAAAAAGCATTAAAACTTTCATGGACTTTTATCAATGCGAGCTCAAGTCTTTGCACCTACATGTCAGGAATGTGCTTTTCTTTCGTAAGTATGTGAATTAACATGTATTAAATCTGACATATGCATCAAAAATATTTATAATAAACAAGATAATGACCTTTATATGACTGAAGTTTCAAATGAAGTGTATTAATTGGATTATAGATGCTGAGATAACATCAGAATACCAAATACTAACTTAGATCTCCTGATACACCCCTTTGAAAATTTACAAAGTGCCACAAGACAGCTTGACAAAAAAAAAAAAAAACCTCAACTGTGAGGGCTTCTCTTTACCTCCCCTAAGGTGAGAGTGCAACCCCTCAAAGCTGGAATATATCTGATTAATAGTACACCACATCGGTAATCCTCTATAGTGCTTAACGCCCAATTATCCAGAACATCTGCATACCCAGTGGCTGCTCTGCTCCCCACTGATGCAGCAACCATAATCAGGAGTTTATTTTTTGCAGAAACAAAAAGTGCATTGAAGTCTATGATGAAAGGATCTCAAGTCATGAAAAGTAGACTGAAGTTAGGAGTGCTTTAGGCACGTCAATGTAAAAAACAACACAGTGAATGTTAAGGGAACAAAAAAAAAACAAAACAATGAGGCCAACACAAAACTAAAGCCCAAGCATCTCTTGAAGGAATATACCAGTACATCTCCAGCATTAATGACAGTATTTCAGACTAGGATCGCCATATGCTGAGAAAAGTTAAAAAAAAAATAAAAAGCAGTATGCACAATCGAGCCATATCATGTAATTTTGTATTATCTGTTAGTGCTTGGGATGTGTGTTGTGAAGGACTCTCAGCTACTACCACACCAAATTCTAGCTCCATATCTAAAAAATTCACTGAGGTATACCCATTTTTCTGCAGGTCAATATCAATTGGAAGCATAAACACCTTATTGTATTAAATATTAAAGAGATGCAAAGCCAATATTTATTTTCTGAGAATTTCACTGAAATCTGTCCAGTGGTTCATGAGATATTTTGCTAACAGACACAGAGGGATAACTTGGACAGTTAATGCCAAAACTTTAAGCTAATATGCCGCTTAATGGGTTACGCTTGAACTATTCAATCAAGGACAATGCCAAGTTACTACTACACAACAAAATTTAGCTCATTATCTGCCAAATTAAATGCGTAATTGTCTTATGTATTTTCTAAGATCACTTGGCTGTGGCGTCCATCTTGAATTCCATCAACTCTAAACAGAACAGTTCACCGTATGTGAATCACTGCCGTTTGAACGCACTGCAATGTCACCAGATTCTGCAGAGGCTGCAGCCTCCAACCTACATTTGCAGCTTCAAAAGTTGGGTTCATGCTTCATGCAAGAAATGGATGTGACAGAGCATTGTGCTGCCTAAACCACATGGCATGTGGTTCATGTCTGCCTGAGCGTTTGAGCCTTTACTCAGGAGACCATTTATAACTAAAACCCAACAGAAATTCAACTTTGAGGCGATTGTTAAATGCAGTCGGTTATCAGCTGCTTTTTCAAAAAGATTTATTAAAACAATGAAATAATTGGAGATAGCAGCATTCTGAAAAACAACACAAGTGGACAACAAAAGAGTCATTTCACTCAACTCCACTGTGTATTAACAACCAGAAGGAAAAAAACAACAGCTTTTGTTGCTAAGCTCTTGATTATTGTCCTTCATCACAAAGGGGACATGCTGTTGTCATGAAGGATACAAAACATGTGCCAATGAGGATTCACTGCAACCTCACGATGAAGTAGATTCTCCAATAGAAATAAACTATTGAACAGAACTAAAACTCTGCAATTCAAACACAAACTAAAGCTAAACTTTGGCTGAAAGGTAAACCAACTAAACATTAAGCCGTTCCAAGTCGACTGCTTCTGATAGGTAAAAAAAAAGAACATAGAGACAGGGTCTGCCTTGGAGGGGGAACTGTTAATTTTACATTACTAAACCAGAACATTGTGTCCTGTTCAGACTGGATTTAAAGTTAATTGCTCATCCTCTGCGAAGGCAAGAATTTTGCTTCCAGCGTAGGACATGGAGTCTGACAAACTGCCTCCTCCAGTCCAGACGAGTTCAAGATGTGTCAGACACCAAAAAGAAACAGTCCTTCTTCTGCCCCTGTCAACAGGCTGAAAGTCCAACGAAATTCTAATGACCAAAAAATAACAAACAAAAAAAAGAAAACGATAAACACTGAATATTAAGATCAATTGGTTATTAAACCTATTTGGGCTACAGGATATCAAAAACGGACCAATATTTTAACATAAGGATTGCAATAAACTGCAGAAATAAACGGCAACCAATATTATATTTGGCAACCTATTCCCCTAAATGCACACAGCCAGTTTTAATGATGAGAGGCCAAAATGTTAAAGACTGTAGAGAGTATTGAGAATGTTGGGATGGCAGAAACAGCAAGGATAATGTAATGGAATGTGTTGTGTTGTCATCATTGTAGGTTCCCATACAATGGTGAAATTGGCTCTCTGCATTTAACCCATCCATCCACCCCCAGGTGGAGCAGTGGGCAGCTATTGAAAGAACCCAGGATGCAATTGGGGATAGGGACGAGTGTCCTGCTCAGAAACTCCACGAGATGTGCTATGTCTGGGGCTCGAACCTGGGACTTTTGGGTCCCGAGTCGGCCGCCCTGCCTCTACCCCATCTGGGTTTTACACATCTGTTATCATTAAAATATTCAACAATATCTAAAGTGTATTTTCTTGGTATCACACAGCTGTACCTGTTGCAATGGAGGGACCTGAATTTTCTTCATAACAATCAGTGTTGTGGTTAGTTCAATGGAACAGTTGTCCAGAAAGGCCAAGATTGGAGTCAGAATGTCCACCAAAGTGATAAAAAATGTGCTTATTGTTGAAGACAATGCCCATTTGTGACTGTAACGTTACGTCTCCATCCAATCGCAAGTATCAGTTCAGAGTAGCTGCCAATCTCTTGTTAATCTACTGTTCATCACTTCAAGTCAGCCGTGCTGCAATATGGCAGACATAATAAGGGTAGCCGCTGTGATGCAGCTTGCTAATATGTCTGAGGTGTGGAAGTATTTTAAAATACAAAAAATGAGCAATTTGGCAAGTCACTGAATAGCAGTGATCAGTAGGTTGAAGGCAGCTAATGCCACAGTGCTAATACTAAGCTTTAGAACAATTGCAGGTACTTCCTTTGTCTTCTCCCCACATGTGCACTGCTTCATCTAGAGGTGTTTTAACAGAAACTCTGTCCAATGCCTCATTGTTTTGTTAATGTTTCGAATTCAAAAAGCAAAAAATCCACAAGTATGCCCTACACTGTCAGCACAACACAACTGGCAGAAGGCTGTCCAAGATGAATACAGATTTTGCCATCACCTGGCTTATTGAGAAGAAAAAATTAAATAAAACAACTTGAGGAACAAATGACATCAAGTTTTTATATACCGCAATGTGGAGCTTTTTGAGCATGAAGCACAAAATAGCATTGATTTTAATAACTTTAGTGTACTTGTGGTGTGTAATCTGCAAGTCTGCACTTTGAAAAGTTCATATAAGATTAAGGCCTGGCCGATCCCTACATTATATTACTCAAATTTGTATTGGGGCAAACATCTTGAGTGGGACATCTAGGCCTGAACCATGCAATTATTATTAAGATGACTGTCCAAATAAATCTACCACACATTTTTCATTTTTGCATTCACTCCCAAACAATGAAACAAAAAGCTGTCACATACCAGCAGAGGTCTGCTTGAACTTCTCGCTCTTCTTCTTTCTCCATTTCCAGGGTTTGAGGAGTCGCCCCAGAGTAGCAAATTTACTCCTGTGACGGATGGGTGGTGTGTGGGTGCCAGAAACCAGGGACTCGGAGCGCATGGCTGCCAGCCTCTCTACTTCCTCAGCTGTTAAACAAAACAAACAAAAAAAGGGGGGTTTTATTAAGGTGAGGAAGAAGAGGAGGTGATATTCTCGCAAACTGTTATTAGCAGTGAAAGCAGCACATTTCGGCTCTCCAAAGACCCCAGCAGCATGAATCTGTGCCAAGTGGTGTCCTGAAAATCAGCAGTAAACTGGATGAGACCGAACCAAAAGCATAAACAAACCTGCACGTCAGATCTCTTTATGCAGAATACGCTCGGAGTATAAACAGTACGAGGCTGCTCCGCATCAAGCCGCCGGAGCGTCTTGCCAAAATACACTAAACAGACTGATTAACACCTCATTAAAGAGAAATCTTCCCACTCTTCATGAAATATTCACAAAGCCCAGCCTTTTGACTTTAAAGCACTGTCTGAGATCAAAAGCAACAAAGATTTGTCCCAGTGAAAACTATTACATGAGGGACATGATGCAAAAGGCTACAAATTACACAAGTTACCAAACAAGACACATAATTGATAAACTCTATAAATAATGAAGGAGATGATAACTGAAACCCAATTAAAACAAATGCATTTGAATAATTTTATTAGATGAGCATTTTTTACATTGTATACTCAGTTTCCTTAATTATTTATGTTGCGGATGAATATTCACACAAGACAGGCAACATTTACTGGTTGTAAAATTAAAATCTTCAACTTAAGCAATGTTTTAAGTTTAGAAATAATCTAGATACTTTAACAGAACTACAAAGACCAAAGGGTATTCAGTTTCTGGCAGTTTTAAAATGGCTTTAACTCACCATTTGTTGGTTTTTTTCCCACACAGGGACAGTCAAATCATGATTTGACGAAACTTTCAGAAAGTAGTAACTGGACAAAGCTCTACAAGTGATTAACTTTTGGAGTCAGTCCAATTCAAGGCGATGACAACAAACCACATCTGCAAAAATAAAATTGGCTATAACTCGGTCAGTTCTGCAGATATTGAGCTAAAAATTCATGTGACAGGCTGAAAGTCGTTGCCAACACATGCCACATTTTGTGAAAAGTGCATAAAATAGAAGGTTTGATTGGGATTAAAAAAAAATAAAAATTAACATCCATATCTCAAATCTGTTATCACCACACAGGATCAGATGTCCTTAACGTGTTAAGGCAATCACACACACACACACACACACACACACACACAATCCCCATTCACAATATTTGCAAACACAGATCTCTTAACATGACGGCCTTCTCCCTGAAGGGAATAAAAAACAGCAGATGAGTATTGTGACACTAATAGAGCAGACATTATGCCCCGCAGATCATCACTTGAATGCAATCTTCCCAGCACATAATTCTATAAATAACCCTACACAGTCAGCACTGCACAAATCAAACAGAATCAAATTCCAAAATTAGAGGTCTAGAGGTTATGTAAAGACAGGAAACAACTCTTGGCAGAGTAGCATCATGACTGTCACACTGGGATAATAACGGCAGTCAGTTTTAACAACTTTAATCACTCGAATAATGTCCTGCAATGTGCATACCTCCTTGAATGCTGCATTGCTGTGATATATAAACTTTAGATGCTAAAGGGGGGTTAAAAGTGGTTGCAAATGATCCAAGGGTTCTCAGATGTTTTTTTTTTTAAATTGCTTAGTCAAGAGGTCCATGAATGGAAAATTTAATTTTTCAGTACTCTGAAATAAATCACATGCAGAAAAGCACACTTTAGACCTATGCAATTTCATTTCAGAATATGCACAAAATCCTGGCAGATGAGGAAAGATGTTGCGGAGTAAAATAAGAACCTATTTAGAATGTCCTCACTGGCATGTTTATATCCCATCCTGCTGCTTTCTCCCCGTCAGCTCTAATGCGACTGGTTTTAATTAAAAACACTTGTTTGGATGGCTGAGTGATGATGTAATGACAATGAATTAGAAGTGGCTTTGCACAAACAGACTGCAAAAGATCTGGACTTAACAAGTAGATAAAAAAACAAAAGGTTCCTGGAAGGTCTTTCATTTTAAATTGAAGCAAAGCAACATTTAGCAGCTGCAGAGGGAAGTTCTCATCCAGTTCGACGCAGTTTCAGCAACTGTGCATCATTTTTTATTTTGTGCAAAGCTACAGCTCAAACAAGATGATCTGCTCATGCAGCCCAGAGCCACACATAGAGTCGACCATGCATGCTGCATTAGAAAAAAAAAAAACATAAAAGGGCGCAACCATAGCTCCACAACTCACCGTCCTGAGTGGCGTTCCCGCGGCTGCAGTTGCTGCAGATGTGCTTGATTTCTTTGCCGATCTGACAGTGGATGGTGAAAGGCATGCTGTTGTTGTTGTGCTGCAGGTTCTGGCCTGGGCCCTTCTTGTTGTTACCCAGAGACATGATCCGGACCAGGCTGAACGCCTTCTTCGTCTTGGGCTTCTCCACGGCCACGGGCGCGTTCTCTCTGCAGCCCGTGGAGAGCCAGGCGCCGTGGATGATGGTGGGCGCAGGATCCACCGCCGGGTAGTTCACCGCCTTGAACATGATGGTGGAGGGGACGCGGAAAAACGGAGCGGCGATGTTACCAGAGGGCCACCATTCTCTGCATTTCCAACACCTTTTTTTGTTTGTTTTACCTGAGATCCAAAGATGCGCACTTTGCGGCTGCAGGAGGGTGTGGGGGAAAAAAGGCGCAGCTGACGGATCCAAGGGAGCTAATAATAATAATAAAGATTCTTAGTGGTGGATGGCAGTGCCTGCCTCTCCTTCCTGCGTGGGACTGTGGACTGCAGTCGGTTGTGGCTAATCCACGATTAGCGGAGCCGCGCTCTGATTGGCTGCTCGGTGCGCTCCTCTAATAGGCTGCGTGGACCGAGGAAAAGTTGCGTCTACACGAAAGCCGCACCACAGCGCAGACACCTCTAGGTTTGGTGCGCAGTTTGGGTTTCACAGCTGATCTTCTGGAGCGCGAACACAGGGATTTGGATGTAGCATGTCGTGAAAGCAGCAGTGGCGGTTCTAGCATGAACAGGGCTCTGGGCGGGTCCATGTGGGATGTCACATTTCACTGTACTGATCAATGGATCCCAACCCTGGTCATCGAAGATCGCGTTTTAGTTGTTTCCCCACTCCAACACACCTGATTCCGTGATTTAATTACTTACTCAAGCTAGAAGCCTGTTAATCATCTGTTCACTCAAATCAGGTGAAACAACTAAAACATGCAGGATAGTGTTCCTCGAGGACCAGGCTTGGGAACCACCGCTCTAGATTATATGGTACAAAAGTAAGCAGATAATGTGTTACATTTCTGGACCAACAAGCAGCCATAGTGTGTTTTATATCTGTCACAATTTAAGGAAAGTTCATTAATATATAATATAATACTTAATTATTGCAACAAGCTCCCCAGTTTTTTTTTTTTTCTCTTCATACTCATTTGATCCCTAAAGTTTTAGGGATAATTGCAAATATTAATGGCCTTTTAATGAGTTGTTAATAATGGAAAGGATAAGTAACCCCAGGGCACGTTCAAACACTGCAGTGCAGGGTGACCATGGGCTTGGAGGGGGTGGGCGCTCTTAAAAGAGTTGTTGTGTGTGGAGAAGGGGGTACCTTTGATGTTCCCACAGTGAGCCACAGCTTATTCCATTTGCATCAAAGTCCTTTCTGAAATGAGACACACAGATTTACTCCCATCCCTGTGCTGTGAAGTATCTGCTGTCAGCTGCAGACTTTTTGATGCAGAGTTTTAGTCCTGCTCTGATAGTTTAGACAAACAACTTATATTAAAAAGTTTGATTCATTTATGTAGAAAAACAATTTTGTAACAGTTTTTGTAGTTCAGGAACAGGAAATTGAAGAACCAGCATGTATCTGCAGAAGACACCTCTTGGCTCTTTTCAGCATATATTTTCATGATTTTCTGCATAAACGCTGCATGTCTCCTCTAAATTGAAAGCAACTACCCAGATAAAAAAAAAAAAAAGCGTATGCTATGAAAGAAAAACTGTTGCAACATGTCCCTGCAGAATGAAGTCTAGAATAAGAGGCAACCCATATTTGTGTCCTTTTGTGCCAGTAGTTTTTACAACAAGGACAGTTTTATAGTTGCTCCTCCTTCCTGCCCTGGATTCACAAAATTTTGCCTGAAGATAAATAAATTGAAATCAAAGGCTATCTGAGCCAAGGTCTTATGTTGTGGCTGTCATGTATTTTTTATGATGTTAATACACTGTTTACCCCATTTGCAATCTAATATTTTTTATTTTTTTGTAGCTCTGACCAAAAACGTTAGCAGCAAATAAAAGTGACTGTGAACCTGTTTTGACACATCTAGAAGCAGCGGTGACAGTTCAGGCACATCGGGTGGATTCAAACAGCTGTTCACACACATGTCCTCTGTGAATGACAAACTTTTTAGATATGTGAACCAGGTTTTATATATATATATATATATATATATTAGGGATGCACGATATCAGCATTGTATCGTTATCGGTCGATATTAGTGTTAAAGTTCAATATTGAACATCGGTAATTCCATTAAAATAACTCGCTGATATAAAAGGGACTGTTTTTGCCTGAATCTGCAGCACAACGTGATGGCGTTGCAGCGACTGCACAATGCAATGATGTCACGTGCACCTATGGCGGAGAGGAAAATTCAAAATGTCGGCGGTGTGGAAGTTTTATTTTTCGTTGGTGAGAATGGCGGATTTTGAAGATTTATGGACTATGTTGAGTCTCACTAGATCGTACCCAGTCTGAGATATTTTTCCGACTTGCCTTATCCGAGTTACAAGCCGTCATTTACGACATCAATGAGAAGCTAACAGCACGACTTGTTGGGTGAGTTTTACCACAGACATTTGGATGTCCCTGTTATCCCTTGCATGATTAGTCTTACGGCACAATGGATAGAAAAACTTTGAACTTACAAAAGGATGTCCTTCATGCATAAGAGTTCAGAGGATCCCACACTGCAGCTAGGAACCTGGAACAAGCCTCCACAGGTGAGTCAGCTTTGCAGGTGATTAATGCTCGTAAATAACGTTTGACACTTTTTATTTAAAATAAGTCAAAGTGCTATGCATATGGCTGTTATGGAATATATGTCACCAGCTCTTACAGTTGTTGCACCATTTTTGTAGCAAATAAGCCTAAATAAGACGGCTATGTCCTGACGAAGGAACCTATATAAAGTATCGGTATAAATTATTAGCCAAATGAG